CTCTTTCAGAAATGAAACCACAATGAACCAACTGTGTCAAATACATCACGGGCAGTAGTTGTCATTTCAAGAGGTTTGCAAAAAAGAAACTCATCTTTAAAGTCTCCATTATTAATATACCTCACATAAACCAGTAACTGTGAACAGTTTGCAACGTCTGTATATTCATCAAGCCAGATACTAAACATTGGAAGTGGAGCAGATTTAATTTCCTGGATTACCTGATCAAGAATATCAGCAGACATGCCATCTATTCTTCCATGGACAGTGTCATTAAGGAAATTGCGCTCACTTTCGTAAGAAATTCATCTCTGATCATAACTCGAACAATGTCTTTGGCTGCTGGCACCAGTAAATCCTCAGCAATGGTGTGAGGTTTAATAGCTCTGGCAATTCTAAGTGCCACCAAATATGAAGCTTCAATGGCTGCTACGTTTTGTTTATGGTACTTGCCACCAGTGTCAAGTCTGGCTTTCTTGAGTCCATCAGCTTTGCTTCTAAAATAGTTGGTATCCTTGCCTGCAAAGCTCAGATGCTTGCTATCAAAATGGCGTTTTAGTTTGTTTGGCTTCATGGATTCAGCTGATAGAACTTCACAACAAATAACACATTGCAGTTTCTCAATTCCTGCTGTAATTATTGAGGTAAAACTATACTGTAAAAAAATCCTCAGCTCAGCGCCTGTGGCTCAAGCCGCTAAGGCACCAGCCACATACACCTAAGGTGGCGGGTTCAAATCCAGCCCAGACACGCCAAACAACAATGACAACTGCAACCAAAAAATAGCCGGGCGTTATGGCGGGCGCCTGTGGTCCCAGCTACCTGGGAGGCTGAGGCAGAAGACTCGCTTGAGCCCAGGAGTTGGAGGTTGCTGTGAGCTTTGATGCCACAGCACTCTACCCATGGGACAGCTTGAGGCTCTGTCTCAAAAAAAAAAATCCTCATTATACTTTCTTTTTCTTTTTTTTTTTGAGGAACAAGCAGATTTTATTTTTATTTATTTATTTTTTTTAATTGAATGGTAACTGTACATTAATGCAATATACTTTCTTTTTTTAACGTTCTTCTCTACACGATCCGTTGCCATGGAATGGTTTGCTAATGAAAATAATATATAACAATAGCTTTAATAATACAAAAGATGATATATGGCATAATTCAGTTAATACAGTTCGTTTCCTATGATTTACCATTCTCTGTGTTTTTTACATACCTGTTACTATCAAAAGGGGGCAGTATTCACATCAACCACAGCCGAATATAAAAAGAACAATCACATCCAGATTAAGTTCCCAAGGTACAGATTTTTTTTTTCGCAGTAGTTGATGATTTTACAGTATATGATTTTACATTTACACAGTAACTATAATTCATGAACTGTCGTTTTACCTCCAATACTGCTGCTTTCAACATAGTAGCTGCTCTCTACACTTATGTGACTGGTCCACATAAGTACATAAGTGCCAACCCTGTCACTTACACCTGTATTTGTACGGAGTGTACGGGATGGAGTTGGCGTGATGATGTCATCACGCTGGGTATTCGTATGTGGGCATATCTGCATGTGGGCGGACCTGCCTGGAGATGGATAGAGGAGCAGTGTCTTGGTTCCTGACACCATAGGAAATATGTGTTTTTTAATGGTCTTAGGCAACCCCTGTGAAAGGGTCGTTCCACCTCCAAAAGGGTAGGGACCCACCAGTTGAGAACCACTGAGCTACAGAATATACATTCTTTTATTTATTTATTTATTTTTTGAGACAGAGTCTCAAACTGTCATCCTGGGTAGAGTGCTGTAACATCACAGCTCACAGCAACCTCCAACTTGGGCTCAAGCGATCCTCTTGCCTCAGTTCTTCTATTTTTAGTAGAGACAGGGGGGCCTCACTTTTGCTCAGGCTGGTCTCCAACTCATGAGCTCAAGCAATCCATCCGCCTCGGCCTCCCAGAGTGCTAGGGTTATAGGTGTGAGCCATTTAACTTGGCCCTACAAATGGATTCCTACCCTCTGCTGGTGTTTGCATACTTAGTGATATATACAAATGCTTAAAATAGCATAAAAAGAATGGAACAGAAGATACAGAATGAATTTGGACCGCCAAGATGTTTCTTCAAGTCATCAGATCTGTTCAGAAGGTGTGGTAAATATTGCCCAAACCTTTGTGATTTGTTGTGTAATGAAACTAAATTGGCAGTTTGAGACTCTGTCTCAAAAAAAAAAAAA